TCCCCTGAGCAGGTAAGGACACTGAGGCATAAGAACAGAGTCTATTACGTTGAGAGCATGGAATAAAGTTTAAGACTTGCCTTCCCATGATTTCTGTAGCGATTACTTTAGTGCATAGACCACTTGGATTTTTTGCTTGTTTGTTTTGCTTTTTTAGGTAGCCAAAATTTCAGGAAAGGTAGGGCTTGAAGTGCATGCCTAGTTTCCCAAAGTTCCATTGGGTCTCCAGGATTTCATTGATCCACAGATCTAGAGGTCAAATGATGGGTGCTCCTTTGTTGGAAACGTAGGGCTTGAAGTGCATGCCTAGTTTCCCAAAGTTCCATTGGGTCTCCAGGATTTCATTGACCACAGATCTAGAGGTCAAATGATGGGTGCTCCTTTGTTGGAAACACAGAGGTCTCTAGGAATAGTGGAGGTGTTGGGACTGCCTGTCCAACAAGGGTATCAAAAAGTCTAACTCTCCAGAAAGGAGCAAAGATTTTCTGTGGAATCTTCCCAAAGAGAGAGTTTGACATACTATTTTTTCAGTACCTAAGCATGCAGTCATATAATGCTTGTACTTATAAATTAGATACTATACCAGGCAGTGAGATATCACGGAAAGTATGTGGATTTGGGGAGTCAGAGTGGTTTAAATAATGGTTCCTTATTTGAATAATGTCATTTGTGCCTCAGGTATCTTCACTTTTCTGTGAGTTCACCTACAAATTGAAGAAGGCGACTTCTTCGTAGGGTTTTGGGAGGATTGAACAAGGTGCAGTATGTCAACTCCCCAGTTCCAGGCCTAGCATCACGAGTCCACCATAGATGCTGTTCCTACTGGGGGAAGGAGACACCTGTTCAAACCCATTAATAAAGAAGTATTTTCCATCATGTCAAAATAAGGCTTTCTTTTTGTTGGAAGGAAACAAACAAACAAAAAATAAGTACAGAGACATGAATATGACACCCCCAAATAAACATACAAATCTTAATGTGTACCTAAAGAAAAAGATATCAGATAACCTACAGAACAACATAAAGATGAATTAAGAGACAAGAAATGAGGGCCATATGGATGAGAATTTGCTTAAAATACACATGGACTTAGGGAAAAAAAATTGCTGGCAAAAATGTGCCTTGGCATTGTGCCAAATTTGAAAACATTTGAAGAAATAATTTTAGTTTAGAAAAACTGAAGAAAGATTTCTCTCATTCTCCTGGATAAGTAAGATAAGAGAAATGTGGCCTCCAGATCAGTAGGCTCACTGTGAACACTCAGGCACGCAGGTAAGACCTCGTCAAAGGACAGTCCCATCTGAAGCTGTCTGGTTTAGCTCTAAAAATAAGACCCGTAGTTTATGATATGCTTGTCGAATGGTGCACAATGCTCCACTAAATTTTTGTAAATTGGATTCATTATCTTTTGGTTTATTTCAGCCTGAACTTCATCAGTAGTCAAGCAAGAAACAAACATCTGTGGAGAAGAGCTGGCATTGTTCGATTCTGCAAAAAGGCTGTGAGGTGCTCCTAGGGTGTGCATTCATGACCACATCCTTTCTGTCCATTCCACTTCCCTTTTTATTTCCATATACTCTGTTGTGATGCCTAAAAATGGAACATACATACCATCCACTTATTTTAACCAGGACCACAATATTGTTCAAATACACACAATTCTCCAAAACATTTTAGTCCTGTGCTCATGGATTTATTCCAGATAAAACATATACATTAAAACATTTTTTCAACCATTCTTTGCCAGTATGTTGTCAATGACAAACACAATTTTTGCTTAAAAGAAGTAAATTACATTCTCACTCTCCAGGAAACACTGATCTTTCATTTTGAAAGCACCCTTCATCCTCAGAT